TCGAGACATCCCCTGCCAGTATTTATAGAAGTCCTTGTCGAGACATCCCCTGCCAGTATGTACAGAAGCACTTGTCGAGACATCCCCTGCCAGTATGTATAGAAGCACTTGTCGAGACATCCCCTGCCAGTATGTATAGGAGTCCTTGTCGAGACATCCCCTGCCAGTATGTATAGAAGCACTTGTCGAGACATCCCCTGCCAGTATGTATAGGAGTCCTTGTCGAGACATCCCCTACCAGTATTTATAGGAGTCCTTGTCGAGACATTCCCTACCAGTATGTGTAGCGTTTCTTGTCCAGACACCCCCTGTCAGTATGTATAGAAGTCCTTGTCGAGGCATCCCCTACCAGTATGTATAGAAGTCCTTGTCGAGACATCCCCTGCCAGTATGTACAGAAGCACTTGTCGAGACATCCCCTACCAGTATATTTAGGTGTCCTTGTCGAAGTATCTCCTGTCAGTATGTATAGAAGTCCTTGTCGAGACATCCCCTACCCGTATGTATAGGAGTCCTTGTCGAGACATCCCCTACCAGTATGTACAGAAGCACTTGTCGAGACATCCCCTGCCAGTATTTATAGAAGTCCTTGTCGAGACATCCCCTACCAGTATGTATGGGAGTCCTTGTCGAGACATCCCCTACCAGTATGTATGGGAGTCCTTGTCGAGACATCCCCTACCAGTATGTACAGAAGCACTTGTCGAGACATCCCCTACCAGTATGTATGGGAGTCCTTGTCGAGACATCCCCTGCCAGTATATACAGAAGCACTTGTCGAGACACCCCCTGCCAGTATGTATAGAAGCACTTGTCGATAGATCCCCTACCAGTATGTATGGGAGTCCTTGTCGAGACATCCCTGCCAGTATGTACAGAAGCACTTGTCGAGACATCCCCTACCAGTATGTATAGAAGTCCTTGTCGAGACACCCCCTGCCAGTATGTATAGAAGTCCTTGTCGAGACATCCCCTACCAGTATGTATAGAAGTCCTTGTCGAGACACCCCCTGCAAGTATTTATAGAAGCACTTGTCGAGACATCCCCTACCAGTATGTATAGGAGTCCTTGTCGAGGCATCCCCTACCAGTATGTATAGAAGCACTTGTCGATACATCCCCTACCAGTATGTATGGGAGTCCTTGTCGAGACATCCCCTGCCAGTATGTACAGAAGCACTTGTCGAGACATCCCCTGCCAGTATGTATAGGAGTCCTTGTCGAGGCATCTCCTGTCAGTATGTATAGAAGTCCTTGTCGAGACATCCCCTGCCAGTATGTGTAGCGTTTCTTGTCCAGACATCCCCTGCCAGTATGTATAGGAGTCCTTGTCGAGGCATCTCCTGTCAGTATGTATAGAAGTCCTTGTCGAGGCATCCCCTACCAGTATGTATAGGAGTCCTTGTCGAGACATCCCCTACCAGTATGTATAGGAGTCCTTGTCGAGGCATCCCCTGCCAATATGTGTAGCGTTTCTTGTCCAGACATCCCCAACCAGTATGTATAGAAGTCCTTGACGAGACATCCCCTGCCAGTATGTACAGAAGCACTCGTCGAGACATCCCCTGCCAGTATTTATAGAAGCACTTGTCGAGACATCCGCTGCCAGTATGTATAGGAGTCCTTTTCGAGACATCCCCTACCAGTATGTATAGAAGTCCTTGTCGAGACACCCCCTGCCAGTATGTATAGAAGCACTTGTCGATACATCCCCTACCAGTATGTATGGGAGTCCTTGTCGAGACATCCCCTGCCAGTATGTACAGAAGCACTTGTCGAGACATCCCCTACCAGTATGTATGGGAGTCTTTGTCGAGACATCCCCAACCAGTATGTATAGAAGCACTTGTCGATACATCCCCTACCAGTATGTATGGGAGTCCTTGTCGAGACATTCCTGCCAGTATGTACAGAAGCACTTGTCGAGACATCCCCTACCAGTATGTATAGAAGTCCTTGTCGAGACATCCCCTACCAGTATGTATAGAAGTCCTTGTCGAGACACCCCCTGCAAGTATTTATAGAAGCACTTGTCGAGACATCCCCTACCAGTATGTATGGGAGTCCTTGTCGAGACATCCCCTACCAGTATGTATAGGAGTCCTTGTCGAGACATCCCCTACCCGTATGTATAGAAGCACTTGTCGATACATCCCCTACCAGTATGTATGGGAGTCCTTGTCGAGACATCCCCTGCCAGTATGTACAGAAGCACTTGTCGAGACATCCCCTGCCAGTATGTATAGAAGTCCTTGTCGAGACACCCCCTGCCAGTATGTACAGAAGCACTTGTCGAGACATCCCCTACCAGTATGTGTAGCGTTTCTTGTCCAGACACCCCCTGTCAGTATGTATAGGAGTCCTTGTCGAGACATCCCCTACCCGTATGTATAGGAGTCCTTGTCGAGACATCCCCTACCAGTATGTATAGAAGTCCTTGTCGAGACATCCCCTGCCAGTATGTACAGAAGCACTTGTCGAGACATCCCCTACCAGTATGTATAGAAGTCCTTGTCGAGACATCCCCTGCCAGTATGTACAGAAGCACTTGTCGAGACATCCCCTACCAGTATGTGTAGCGTTTCTTGTCCAGACACCCCCTGTCAGTATGTATAGGAGTCCTTGTCGAGACATCCCCTACCCGTATGTATAGAAGCACTTGTCGATACATCCCCTACCAGTATGTATGGGAGTCCTTGTCGAGACATCCCCTGCCAGTATGTACAGAAGCACTTGTCGAGACATCCCCTGCCAGTATGTATAGAAGTCCTTGTCGAGACACCCCCTGCCAGTATGTATAGAAGTCCTTGTCGAGACATCCCCTACCAGTATGTATAGAAGTCCTTGTCGAGACACCCCCTGCCAGTATGTATAGAAGTCCTTGTCGAGACATCCCCTGCCAGTATGTACAGAAGCACTTGTCGAGACATCCCCTACCAGTATGTATAGAAGTCCTTGTCGAGACACCCCCTGCCAGTATGTATAGAAGTCCTTGTCGAGACATCCCCTACCAGTATGTATAGAAGTCCTTGTCGAGACACCCCCTGCAAGTATTTATAGAAGCACTTGTCGAGACATCCCCTACCAGTATGTACAGGAGTCCTTGTCGAGGCATCTCCTGTCAGTATGTATAGAAGTCCTTGTCGAGACATCCCCTACCAGTATGTATGGGAGTCCATGTCGATACATACCCTACCAGTATGTATGGGAGTACTTGTCGAGACATCCCCTACCAGTATGTATAGAAGCACTTGTCGAGCCATCCCCTGCCAGTATGTATGGGAGTCCATGTCGAGACATCCCCTACCAGTATGTATGGGAGTACTTGTCGAGGCATCCCCTGCCAGTATGTATAGGAGTCCTTGTCGAGGCATCCCCTGCCAGTATGTGTAGCGTTTCTTGTCGAGACATCCCCAACCAGTATGTATAGGGGTCCTTGTCGAGACATCCCCTACCAGTATATACAGAAGTCCTTGTCGAGGCATCCCCTGCCAATCTGTATGGGATACCTTGTCGAGGCATCTTATGTCAGGCTGTATATCGGAGACCTTGTCTCCGTGATATTACTGGAATACAGCGGCTTTAAACGCAACTCAATCACTCACAATATGTAAGCGCTGTCGAACCCATGCTTCAATCTTTGCCGTGTTTCTGCACTCATAGAAGATGAGCTCCAGGTGACCGATATGTCACTATATGTTTGCAGTGTTAATAGTGCAGGCGAGACTGTATTTTGTTGGACAAATCAATACATGCTCCAGAAAGTAACTGCTGACGCCTTGTGACCAAGGCAAATGACGACTTCACTGGCGTGTGTGCGTGCCCCGCATTCGTGAACATGTGACAAGTATTATGACTTCTACAATGCACGGGGAGGTCTTGTATATGCAGCAGTCACACACTAGCGACATGCGGGTGTCCTACCCAGCCCCAACAATAGTGCGACCGAGATTGTATTGTGCACTAGTCATTACGTGAAATTTCTACAGGCATTCCTCCACCCTCTATGCCCGAAGTCCTGGTGACGGTAGCCGTCAACATGCACCTCATGTATGGACGCTCCATGCCGCCGGACCATATATATATATATAGAAGTTAAAGTCGAGGATATGTTTCCGACAATGCTCATGGACAGAATGCTGGGTGCTCAACCATTCAACTATAGTGAATCCTTGTCGGTCAGTATGGTGTACCGTAACTTCGGGAAATAGTTATGTTTATGTATAGGAGAAAGTTCTCAATCTCGCGATTATTTTCGCACGTGAAAAAAGCTTCACGTGCGAAAATAATCGCGAGATTTCGGACATTCTCCTATACGTACAACAAACTACTGCACGTGGACTTGATTCAATTTATGGACGTTTGACTAGCTTGTTGTTGGTCATCAACGTGTTTATTGCATCATCGTGTATAAAGCTCATAACTATACGATGTATTGCTCAAGCCATATAATACATAAACAGCTGTGCATTTGTGTTTTATTGGGACTACAACTATATATTGTGGCTTGGGTTCTCACTCCGCTTCTATAAACTCCGTGCAGTGACAAGAACCACCCTTGCATTGCTGAAATGCAGACGAACACATCACCACATCCTGTTCTGACTGATTTGAACACACTGATAAACGTGTCGTGTGCTTTCCGAGATACGCCAGAGTATTCGCGAAGAAAACCACGTATTTCGGTTTCCGCGTGAAGCCGGTAAATAGAGATTGGTGTGTTTATCTCGTCTGGGACACTTTTAACTGGATCAGACCCCTGAAGATCCGGGTTAGAATTGGTCTTCAGCAACCCATGCTTCAGTAAGAGGCGACTAACGGGGTCGTGTGGTCAGGCTCGCTGACTTGGTTGGTGCATGTCACCGTATCCCAGTTGTGTAGATCGATGTCAATCACTGCATGGACTGTCTAGTCCAGACTCGACTATTTACAGACCGCCGTCATATAGCTGGAGTATTGCTGAGTGTGGTGTTAAACAACAAACAAATATAATCTACATACAGAGGCAAACAAATTTGTCACTATTTGGAGAAATATACAATTACAAGATGAAGCGTATTGTTAATGTCTAATTCACGACAATCTGGTAGTCGCCACATACGGCAAGCATGGGTTGCTAAAACCTATTTTACCTTGGTTCTTCGCGAGTCGGGCTGCATGTAGAAATAGCTCAATATAATTGATTCATCGGTGTGTATTATTATAATTATTATCATCTTCACTGTCACAATGCGATTCAGGAGAATAATAAACAACTATACACTGCATCACAAGGCAAACAGCCATTGTTGAGCAACCAGCTGCCACACCAGAAAGCCCTTACGTCAGGCGTGATTATCTGCCAATGACAGCGTCACACATATTCGCTGATCGTTCTGCTTCCATGACCTTTAATCACATTGTCTATATATATACACGCAGTCAATACATCATAAATGATTTTATTATCGTGATAAATGTGAGTCAATTTGCAAGATGAAATCTTTTGGTGAACACTTTGTTAGACAACGGCTTCGCGTCATTTCCTGTAGCATAAGTAAGTTTATACATTCCTACATTTTCCATATGTATTTATTTCCGGATTGACATTCAACGTTTTAGCCAGAGACCCTCAACTAGATCGACCGTACAACTCGATCATTGTTTCCAACATGCACGTGTGGGGAGCCGTCTCTCATCGTAAGTTGTTGTATGTGGACAGGCCTACACTATCTTTTTACTGTAAATTACGGCTTTGTGCGGGTGAGTACATTATATGTCCAGTCCAGGGAGACATTTTCATTTTATGATCCTGTTTTGTATTCAGTGAGCATGATCGAGCATAATATGGCTGCTAGAACAGAACAGAGTAATCTTGCTTATACTAGAAATACCAGTCACCATCAGCTGTGGTGTGAACTACGATTTGGTATATTGTAGCATTGTGCAGAGCCTGAATCAAATCTAAGCTTGAGTAAGTCCGAGTGGTGCTCATGAATTGTCGAAGCTTCTACCAAATGACCAGCGTTGAACTCCTTTAGGAGAACCCACATTCCTCTTTTTACCCGTTTCTTTATTGGATGAATTGCGTCAATGGGCATAGCCTGTGACCATATGATTTGGTCTCGGGCATAGCTAATCGCATGATACGCGAATGATTCAATCGAGAAATGTTAAATTCACAACAAGTCATCCCGTTTACATTGTTCTTGACAGTGGTTATTCGTCTCACACGAAAACCAGAATTACTCTCTGTCGCTTGTATCACTCAATTAGCTATCACACAAGCAGGTTGGGGGCATACTGATGCACACAGTTGAAAATACTCTGTATTCAAAGATAAACACAGCACTGTGCTTTCTTATGGATCAGCCCGGAAGGAGGACGATTCAGGGTCAAATTTCAAAACGAGGCTCCTGTTTGGGAAATCCCCTTACTTAGAAAATGGCGACGGTTTCACTGGAGAAGAAAACACTGTAGGATGTATTTTGAGCGGTGTAATCAGTGTGGGACATATGAAATAAGCACATGGATGGGGAGGAAATCATCATTGTCTCGTGTTCAGACAGTAGTGACTTCGAGGTTGTTTCGGTCAGTAGTGATGAGGCAGAAACAATCGCAAAGTCGGAAGCGGGAAAAATCTTGGCCAAACTTACTGGAACTTGTCGAAGTAAATCTGCACAGAAAAGGAAAAAACGCATGCAAGGGAAATCTCAGCAAATCAAACCGTTATCGGTGAGTAGCTATATTAAGTTGGGGGTATGACACGTTGATGTTACATATTATAATGGCGGTAAGCATAGAATGTTTGTGAAGATATAGTAACTATTGTGTTTAGATAGCCTAACACTTCTTACAAACACTTCCGACTATTTCGACAGTACTTATCCACACGACCTAGGACGAGGTAGGGTTGTGTACTTGTCTACTACTCGACAAACTTATTCCACATGAATCTGCATGGTGGGAACACCGAATCAAGGAACTCCATACAGGTTATTCAGTAGGCTGGCAAAGTAAAGAGTGTACTGTGTCACATACCAGTTACTTACAGGGTCATATTCTACACAGTCTCATTCACAAGTACCATATTCTGTAAATCTGGAAAGTTATGCGAGCAGGACAGTACTGACGCACACTCGCAATAGTTTCATGACACAGTTTTATTGCAGACCAACAACTGAACAAGAAACAAAAGATGTAAGGAGGCATATCTTTTTGTAATTAACTTTCATATGTTGTCAAACAAGCTAGTGCATCATTCAACAAATAATCCCTCACATCCTGTGTTTCCCTATTTGCACATTGTCACTTAGTGTCAACCGTCGAATTAGCATGAGCAAAGGCACGTGTTAATTCCCTACATGGGTACAATGTGTAAAGACCATTTCTGGTGTCCCCCACTGTGGAATATTGCTAAAAGCAGCATAAAACCATACCTACTCGCTCAGTACTAACCTGCTACATCTTGTCAACACTGAGTAATCTTGACAAACACCAGCCAGTCTATTCTGTTATGAACTACAACACCTGTATCTATACTTTACAAATCACTGACTGACACTGAGTTACCATTTCATCATGACTACTTATCAAATATGAAACCTGCAAGAGTAGCGTTGATTTTGGTAGTCTTAACAGGGTTTCGCAAAACTTTCCAGACTCAGTTAAGGCTATTGGTTTTCAATATATTTGCACTTCCTTGCGTTAAGTTTATTGAGTATTTTTAGATCAATGTGTTGATCATTTTATAATATAATCAGAATGTTGTTTCGGGTAATTTCCATCTCTGAACTTCTAATGTTGCCTCATGTTTACATATGCTCTTTTGTGCATTATTCACTGCAGTAGATGTATATTATGTACATGATGCCTGCATTCAATCAGTAAGGAACTGACCATTTGATATTTAGGGGAGTGGGGTATGGGGTACTGTCCCCGAACAAATTCAGGCTCACATAGTTTTAAATAAAAAGTCTGTTTATTTAAAAAGTATCTTGTGTTGTGGCTGTAGCTGAAAAGAATATCTAATACTGTTACAAAATCCCAGCCCGAAAAGTATTTGGGTAATGGTTATATGATGTTTGCATATTAAGCTTATTTTGAGCTCTGCGTTCAAACCATTATCGGTGAGTAACCATATTAAGTTGGGTGTATCATGGCAGTAAGCATAGAATGTGTGTGAAGATTTCATTCCCATTCCTTCAGTGTTACTTGTATTGGTCCCAGTTGCCTAGGGTTGTCAGATTGTCATGCTTGCTGAGATAGATTGTTTCACTTGCTTTGATGTCAAGTAAGATACAGAATGACTTGTGGAAACATCGACATAATCACAAGATTTGTTGATGTGCCCAACCTGCCCAAATAGTGACACTTTCTTTATGTGTCATTGTGTGTTTGATATACTAAGATCTTTGGTATTCTTATGCAATTTTTTAAATAGCATTTATGTAAGCTAACCTGACTGCTAGTCATGTGAGCTTATGTCTTGGCCTGCTTGTCTGGCTATTGCCACACCAGCATCTGGACATGCCTTCATCTCCTCTGAAAGCACTGGACCCTTTTAGCTGTAACTTCACATGATATAGCTGCCAAATTAGGCAAATATTCATGGACATTGCTCATACATTTTTGTTGATCGTTAAACTGTATAGAAACTTGATCATGTTTGGTTGGTACATGTTGTCGTGGAACCCAACACCTGTGCTACATTTTTCACAATGTTTTTGAGGCTTCACTTAAATATGTTTTTGCTTTTATGGAGGTTTAAATGTAAACTGTGTGCACACTGTGTAAATCCACTCTGAAGAAAAACAGAAACATATCCAAGTGAAATCTAGAAAATGATCAAGTCAACAATGATAATAAATCCACCAACTGCTTTAATCATAAGCAAAAAAAAAAAGTGTAGACAACGACTTGAAAACAGTGACATTGTTCAGCATCAGCTCATCATTAGTGCTACACAAAAATAATTGCTTAAACCATTACTGTGGTATTACTTTCATTGCTGATAGATTCTTTTCATCAGCATGATTTGTACACAAGTATTTGACTGTTTTCTCATCATGGTGGTATTGCAGTTCTCTTGGACAAGTCGTTTATGTAAAATATATACATATAATAGACAAGAAATAATTGGTTCCTCTGGATCTCCACTAGATTAATGGACAAGTGTCTGTGTCTAGTGTTGATGATGATATTGTTGACAAATGGTTGAGTTCTACAAAATTATTACTATTAGTGTATAACTAGCCTCAGTATCTTGTGTCATCATTGTCAGCAGATTGTAGACATTGCAGAGTGATTACTCACAGTTATGTGTAAGTAATAGACCAGTAATAACTTTGTTAGTTGTGTCAGCTTGCTCAAGGTAGGGATTGAAAGTGTTCGAAGAAAGTGTTAAACATAATATGATCAGGGATATTGTACATGAATTGTGGACTAGGAGCAAGACGCCTGTCCCTTTAGACATGTTTAGACTGCTGGCTAACTTCTGATGTTTGTAATCTTCACTTTGCCTTATCAGCTGTACTGAGATGGGGCCTGTGAACATGTGATAAGTCCTACAGATAGCTGTGTGTAGCCCAGGTGTACCATGATTACAGCTGTTGACTTCTACCTGTGTTGGTGCTATCTCTGCTGTGTTAGGATACAGTACAAATATCACCCTTCTCACTCACTCAGTGTGCAAGCGATTCTGCTGTTTCTAGCATGTCTCATCCCAATTTTAACCCACTGTTTAATTCTATTTGTTTTACACCAGCTGTGTTATAGAATGTAGTTTTACAATTAAGTATACTGTTATTGGGTATTTTAAGTTAAATTATCTTTAATGCTGCACACTGCAAATATTCCAGCTATGTAATTTTTGCCTGTAAATAATCGAGTCTGGACCATACAATCTAGTGATTGATATTGTGAGCAACAACCTGTATCATTGGGGTATCATGACACATAATCCACCAAATACTGAGTCCATTTTGTCATCTCTTACGACCAGCATTAGTTGATTGGGACCTATTCTAACGGGGATTCCCTTCGGGGCTTGGTGGTAGTATAATTACTATTGTAATAAGTATATTTCTAAAGAAGCAATACTCTAGTTCAGTGTTCATTCCAGAATTTGATTGACAAGGGCCCTATGAGCCCCTAACAATTAAAGAGATGCTTCATTTTATTTAAAAGACGATCGTGCACAAAAATAGTTTACTGAATTGCATTTGCAAAGGTTTCTAGAACCTTCAGTTGTCATCTTCGTTTTTGTGCTTTACACATGATATAGTGCAATCCAAGAATTATCAGAACAGTAACCATTGTTACCGTTGTGGTTATTAACATCTTGTTCATTGTCGGCACTATTAATTATACCTGTAACATGAACATTTCTATTTTCTATTGTATTTATGCAGGCCTCAAAGTTGCGACTAACACAGTCACCAATTCGACCTAAATTGCAATTTGTCTACTCTCTAAAATTCAGAGGTAGTCAACATGGTCAAATGACTACCTTGAAAAATATCTTGTGGCAACTTAATTCATTGCTACACACATGTAGACACACAAATAAACATGTCTGCTACTGATTGTACTTGCAAATAATTCCTCCTAAAGTCAACAATGAACCGAAATGCATACATATTTATGCAATTAGTATTATATTTTAGTTGATAGTTTATTGGATAAATAGAGGATTAACC